TACATCATTCTAGAGAGAAATAAATGGCCTTTTTAGAAAGTGAACAATCGATAAGCAAATGTTGGCAGTTTTCTCGAAAAATGCTTGAATTAAAGAAGTTTTAGATTTGCGTGGTTTTTGAGTTTGAGTTGCAAAATCCACTTGAACATGACGCTGCTTTTTCCGAAGTTTCTCAAGAACCATTTGAGCCACAGAATTCGTTTTGGCATCGTTGGACAGAGAATTGAATAGTGGGGGGGGGTCGCGACCCCCTTGACCGCCCCCCTGGATCTGCCCTTCCCCAAACTAAATGGTTAAGTAATAAGGATGACAATATTTGTCTCCCCGTTCTATTATTAACACTCGCGCGCGACGCGTTTAATCGAAAAACTTTCCGCCAGAACAAACTTCAATCCGCATTAAAACACTACAATGAATCTAATTATAATAGGTAATTAATAAATCGGCGTTCCAATTAAGTTAGAGTACTTAATTAACTTACTAATCGGGAAGGAGCGGTGGCGGAAACGCTCCAGCTTCGCTGCTGCGGAATCCCGGAGGGAGCGACAAAACTCCCAAAAACTTCAACTTCTTTTAAAAGCTGATCATTGGAGGCGTTCAAGGTGCAGCTTCGGGTTTTCCCGTATACTTAACAATCTTTTCAGATTCTCGCTTAAGTTATTTAACGGGATTAGGGTCCAATTTACCGTCTGAAGCTCAAGGGATGCTAAATTTGATTTAAACAGACTCAGCGAAAAGGAAGCTTAACACATGATATCTAAAAAAAAATATTCTATAATGCTGTGACTGCTTTAATGCTTAAACTGTCTGCTTAATGCTTGTCACTGCTTAAATTTTTCCATATGGAACTTTTGCATCCAAAAATAATTTCTATTAATTTATCCTTTGCATTGGCTTCGCATATTTTTCTGGTACAAATCGATGGTGCGCCGAATGGAAGAGCGTTCAAAATTGAGGAGGTTTAAATCAGGCTCGCCGGTCAATTTGCCGCATCATTTGCGCCAATAACAATAAAATCCTCTACGGATCCACATCTATGCATCTCTAATGGTGGCCGTATCTCCAGAAATGATGGAGCGTTCTTTTGTCACCGCGGGACCGTATTCATTTTCCGGTTGGATTGGCGTGGCCGATAAAAAAAAGCGCGAGCTTACAAAGCACGAAAACGTCGCGCTTGCCGCTCCGTCGAACTGGTGCAGTTTGTTACTTGTTGTGGCTCATTTAGCAGATAAACGGTACCCGAATTGTCCTTCCTTAACGGCACCTTACGGCCCTTTAGCGTAAGCGATACTTAAGACGACCGTTTAGATAGCTTGATGGCTGCTTAGTTGGGAAACTCTTTTTCTGGAACGGGATGGAGCTGATTTTATCGCTTTGGTTAACTAGAAAGCCCGATATGCGGGATTGGACTCTAAAAGCAATGGGCTCTTTCTGGCAAATCCTTAAAAGGGAGCCGTTGAATCATTAACTGATTGTTCCTCTTCAGGCGCATTCATTGGTCGATTGCAATCTGGTTGCGTCCAACTCCTTCCTCACATCTTCCGCCTTTTTTCAACTCAATCAATTCGCGTAATGAAAATGTGATTCTGCTTTTAGGTCATCACTCTTTAAAAATGATCGCTATAGAGCCACTAAATCTAGCGATTTTCGCATGCACTTTTGGAAGCATGTCGAGCAAAATCGCTCAGTCTTCGGGCGGAACGATTCAATTTGCCGCTCCCTTGGTCACCGCGACTCCTCATCCAACGCTCCATTAAGCCACCAGAAACAAAACACGAACTCTAAAACTAAAGCTAAACGCCCGATTCACCGGAAAAAATCGACAATGAACATTCTTCGATTTCTCTATTGAAATGCATTTTTTGTGCCGAACCCTTCGGGCAAAACACTAATTTTTAGCCAAAAACTGATCAATTAACGAGTTGCGCGTGTTTTGGGTTCAACCCAGTATCGTACCCGAAAGGTTCTCCACAACTTCGACATTAAACACTCTTCAATGATTTCTTGTCCAAGCCATTTTTGGAAAAAACTGGTTAAGAGTGATTTTGCGTTTTAAAAACCAGGTTAGCAAAAGTAATTTATTTATCACAGATCTCTATGTTAATTATACAAAAAGACACATTCGATATAGTCCCCGACAATGAAGCTGGGTAGGCAAACCGTGAAAACTCCCATATGGGCAACTAACTTTACCCTGTTGTCTAGCGACGAATATTCATTAGGGCAGATTTAAAAATACAACCAGCCGACTAAGTCCGGCAACTAAATAATTAAATTATGAGCATTTAAAACTTACTATTAACTAAAAAATTCAGAACCTTGACGAACACATCACCTGGAAGAACTACTTGGTGCCCACTAATTCCAATATGGAACAATTCTCAATTTATTGTATTAATAGATTGCCCGTCCTGTACTTATTGACCTTGTTATAGAATAACTTAACCGACTCGGAATTATCGTATGCCTCCTTTAAGTAGTAAAGCCGCAGTTTGCCTTCCTGATGACATTCCAAAATGCCCAGTTTTTGGTAGAGTTTTAGAGCATTTTTCACCGGATCTACAGCCACAGATTCATCTGCAAAAGCGCACACATAAAAAAACAAATTTCCCAACCATAATCCGCTTACCATAATTCAGACTACCAGTAGCCAACTGTTCCTTCATTTCCTTCAAAACAGAAGCCACCAGTTCACTTTCCAGCAGCTGCCGTTGCACGAGAGTTTCTAAAGTGAAACCTGTGATTGCGTAGGCTTCGATAAGGGGCATGAGAATGTGGGCCATATATTTAACATTTTCCATTGCTTCTTTGGATGTGTTGATTTTGTACAATTTCTGAAACGGTTCTTCTTCATCGTCGTCTTCGAACTGTCGCGCAATGTTCCTGCTTCTTCGCACTAACTCGTTGCTTTCAGCTTCCTGGGAAAAAATATACTCTTTAACAAGCTTTTACTAAGACGTGAGTAACAGCAGCTTACCGGCAAGAATATTTCCTTCCTAATAATTAAATCATCTATACAGCTAGTGATGACCATCTCCAAGTTCTGGCAGGGTTTGCAAAATAAGAATTCATACTGGAAAAACGAGCACAGCTCCAAAGCGTTTTCCATCAAATCATCCTGCGATACGGTGTTTAGTCGTATTTCCGCCACAGATAACGCCAAAGCAATCACAGATTCCAGGGCAAAATGAGTGACTAGACTATTACTATAATAGGACAGCTCGATAACGTTTGGCAGAATAGCTATTGGCTTGATTGTGTCTTCGCCATTGAGTTTTTCCTTCTTTACTAAAGCGGGGCCCAACAGTTCAACCTGCAGTTTATTCAGCGTTTAGTCAAATTAAGTATCTTCAAATGAGGAACTTACTGCATAATTAATGACATCCACTGCGTCTCCAGAAAAGCCCACATCTCTCCTACTCAATTCCAGGTCTTTTTTCAGGTCCTCGAAAGCCACTACTAGTTTCTGCAGAGTTATTCCTTGCCGAAATTTGCTTAACAGCAAGAAAGCCAACGCATTGGTCGACATTACTGAGGTGGATTGGGCGCAATCTGCAACAGGTTTTTTAAATTGGTAAGTTATGCATTACACATGAATGTAGCCATGCTTACCGTATATGACGTGCTTTGAAATATTTTCCACCAAGCTTTTATGTTCTTCGGAAACAACATCAGTCCCATACAAGCTATTAGTCGAGGGATTTGACTTCAAAACGCGAGCGCTTACGTTTGGATTCGAGATTTTGTTGTTCTGATCGAACGTTTTAATCAGTTCCTGTAAATTCGCGATCATTGTGAAAATTTGCAATTTTCCTAGGGGAGCAAAAATCTTACCCGCAGGGAGAAGGGTTGATTAAAATCAACCCTCATGCTGCCGTAGCTGCTGTTCAAAACATGCCAGATGCCCTTCAGGGCATCCCCAAAAGTCTCCATCTTCTTCGGCTCGCCCAGTTGTTCCTTAATAAAGTTTCCATCGATCAGTTTCTCATAATTAAGACTCACTGGCACCAAAAGCGCATCTTCAATGGTTCCGTCCATGAAGGTTTCCACAATGACGCTCAGAACGCCATACTTTGGCATGCATGGTTTGCCTTAAAGCCCATTTAAGTCCAAATTAAACAGCCTTAAAGACCCTAACTTCAACTTACCAGTTCTGGTGCGTCCTCCTTCCAGGAAGCATTCGATATTATGTCCCGATCTCAGGCAGAGATTCATGTAAGTGTGCAACACTGCTTTATAAACATGGTCCTTGCGTCCCATCATTGGATCAATGCGTCGCTTGATGAAAAACGCTCCTAAACCTCGCAACAGGGAGCTAAACAATCAGGATTAGCTAACCAAGAAAAAAGTTGCACAGGAAACTTACCCGAAGAACGGGATTCTTAAATTGTCCCCAGCAGCTACCAGGGGTGATCGAATGTCGTTATTCAACAAAATGAACGAAAGAAGTATGTAATCCAAATGGGAGCGATGTAAAGGAAGGAATATTAACGGAAGATTGGTTTTGGAGGCTTGTTTCAGCATATCCACCTGACCAGGATGAACGACCACCGAGTTCATGAAACATGGCAGCAATTTGTACAAAATCCATGAAGTAAATCTGAAATAAACGAATGTTTAAGCATAAAACCTACTAAACAAAAACACAGTTTACCTTAATAAAAAATCTGACAAAGTGGAACGCATATCAGAAACAAGCTTCTTTGCTCGGGCCTGGTTTTTCTTGATAAGTTCCTGGTAAAATTCATCCTCAGTGCTGTCCGAGTCCTTCAGCTGCTGAACAGCGACTCTTTCCACAGCCTTTTTCACTCTATCGTCTCTAAGCACTAAGTTTGCAACTTGCGGAAACGCATATCGTTTGAGCTGGGACACTTGAAAAACATGGGAAAATGTCCTGGACAAAAACCCGCTCTTGAATGGCACCTCATGGTTTAGAACGTTGATTAAAGCAAGGTTTTCTGTGGTTTTTTTCACTAGAGATTCCTGAAAAGTTTTTTTTGTTGAATTATGAAGTTTTCTTATCGCAAGTCACTCCACAGCCTGAGACATACCTTAGAAGCCATGACAGCAGATTTTTCTGATCACAAACATAATCGACTCAAACTATAACACGCATTCGGCTATTTGAGCGGCTTAACCTTCTGCCCAGTTAATAGGCTAATTATATTGGCGAATTACACGTATAAGGATCATCTATTGTCGCTTAATAAGTAAAAGACATGGCAATAAGCAGGTGAGAAAAGAGGCAACTAAAGTACAATAGTCAGACAGGATCTGAATACCAAATTATCTTATTTGCCAAAGCAATCAGCCTAGCAGTTAAGCAGTCCTGCACACACTCATAGAATCTTGTACTTTTATTAACGGCATTTTTTATTGTTTCAAATTCGGGCTATTGAAGAAATTTCCCCAGTCAATTTGATAAAAAAAAATTACGAAAATTTCTCAGTGGAACTGGCTGTTAACTTCAGAAACTGTTGGACAATATTGGGGCTCTTAAGCGACGGGACCAGAATAGACTCAAGGAGCAAAATTTTGAAGGCGCGCATTAGTTTCTCAATGTTTCGGCGTTAAATATAGCACGTGCTTTGTATTTATAGATTCCGGTTACCTACTCGCAATAAAGAATAAAATTGGTTGTTACACACCCGACTCGTAAAAGTGCAATTTTGACAACACAGCCCCATAAAGGTCCGTCTTTCGGTCATACGCAGCTCTGGAACACTTTCTTTGACGTTAAAAAGCAGACCGTCTCTCGCCTAAAATTGCCATTCTCAAGCTGTTTTACTCCTTTAGAGTGCGTCCCCGAACTTACATTAGCATCCGCTTCCCGAGTGAGTTGCTTCCGGTATTTCTGATCTTGTGAGTAGCGTTTCAACGTTGCAAGGGACGCTAAAGAATTATTTTGTTGATTGGTTGAAGGAGCGTAGTTGGTGTAGGACGCGAACGTCCTGCTGGTCAAAAAATCGACCATCTTTTTCGTTCTGTAACAAAATCACCAAGTTTGTTTTAAGCTGCTGGTCGCTGATGATTATAATATTTTATTTTTATTTTACAGCCCCTGGTCATTAAAATTGCGTTAATAAGGAATAAATTACAATTGCGAAATGAAACAATGGATCCCGGTTGCAATCGAGAAGTGGGTTAAAAACCTTCGATACAATTGGATTAAATTGAGGATTGTTTGCCAAAAAAAACTCTCTTTCGACGTTTTTTGCAGCTTCAATTGGGGCGCAAAAATGTATTGAATGTCCTACATTAAATCCCCCCGGTTTATTGGAAAATCTTAATGCAAGGCAACTTCCATCTAGAAAAAAGCCCCAAACTTACCCATTTGCAAAAACAGAAAATTGCCAAGTTAGAACACATTTCAGCCCAATATTAAGCCACTTATTCGAATAGTGAAACAAGTTCAACAGCACTTTAAACCACTGCATTGCAAATTCTAGTGGCACCTTCATAGAACTCGAATGCGGACTGATTGATTGATTGATTGATTCAAATCATTTACGTCTACCAATTATCAGATTATATGGGGAACAAGTGGGATAATTGAATTATTCACACCTTATTATTGTTTTAGATTGTTTAAAACTTTATCTATTAGTATGCGGTGCGCATTGTCATCAAGTGGTAAAACATATATTCGAATCAAGAATCTAAATTTACGTTTAAAATGCTTAAAATTACAATAGATGGTTATTATCTAATGACAATACGGTACATAGGTCAAAGTACATAATATTTCCAATAATTTGGGACTAGACTGCGTTGTTTAATATGGAATAACACGTTTATGATAAAGTATCTTGAACTTCTAGTCGAATTGATAAATGACTAAATTCATTCGTCTCACGGCAGTGTCTCTACACAACAGAAAAATGGAATTAAAGTTAATTTACTGGCATTTTTGTTGACAATTGCTTTATAGAATAGCAGTTTTGAAACTTGTAGTAGTTTTTTGAAATTTCTTATTCCAAAAAAACTCATTAATTAATAATAAAATCTTAAATTATCACGTGTGGATTTTTCAGTGTAGGATTTTTCATTAAGTTAATTTATTGGCAACTTTGAACAAATTCTGATTTTTTTACTGAAAATTGATTTACAGAATTCAGTAGCAGTTTTAAAACTTGCAGCATTTTTTTTAATTTTTTTCAAAAAACTTCTTAGGTATTCTAGACAACACAGAAAATAAAAATTAATAATAAAATACTAAATTATTACTTTATGGTAAGTTTCAAAGAGAAATAATGTATTTTTGTAAAACCATGTATATTTTTTTAGTATTCACATTATTTGGCTGTTTTCCATTTAGATGTTTATTTATATTTGTTTTCTTAAAGAATGTCTATTGATGATAATTTTTATGATATCGTTTCGTATAAAACATTTATTTTCTTACCACAACCAATTTTTAGTTACTGATTCTTTTATTATCTAAAAAAGCTGTTGCCGACATCAGAAAATGTATGATATATTTTAAAATCATTTTTAAGCATTAAAAACTGGATGAAGCAAATCGTTAAATCGTTCTAAAGTTTTTGTTCTGGACCGAGATATGTTTTCTCTTTTACTTCTTCTGGCCATTGAAGAAAATTAGGCCTCTTTATTAAAACTTTCCTAGATCCCCGATTGGTGACTTCTTTAGTCCAGGTTTGCATGAAAGCCTTGTTCTTCGCCTTGTAATGACATGAATTCATATTCCTTATTAAACATTTGCTTTAAAAAAGTGGCATTAATAACTTAAACAAAACTTGCAACAAAAAATAGTTCAAAATATTTATAAAATTGTGTACACAGTTATTTTACACGGTTCCGCCAATAAATAGTTATCGCCATTGAAAATGATAACCTTCTGTTTCTTAACCTTTAGAACGGATGGTGCTGATGCACTTAAAGAATACAAAGCGATTTGCTGTACAAAATTGCGATAGCAATAAAATCCAAACATACGTTTAAGTAAAAATTGTTGCTAATTTCCTCATTACAATAATGAGCCGATTAATCGTCCGAACTGCGAATAGCTGATTTTAAACTACGCTTTAAGAATGAAGAGAAGAGACTGACAAAGGGAGAACTGGAAACTTTCAGAGATAGAATCGAATCCTGGTACAAATTGCAATGAAAATGTGAAAAAAGCATGGAAGAGCGAAGCATATATTCTGAAGACCGCGGACGAAGACTATAAGGAAATAGCTTAATATAAGAGTCATTGAAGCAGAGATAGAACAGGCAAAGGGATATTTCAAAGATCTTTGAGATGAAAGCAAGGAAGCAAAGTCAATCCAAGCTTCAAAAACTGGCTCACCTCTACAGGGTGGTCCTTTTTTTGGTCCTGCCTGTAACGTCACGAAATATTTTAACATAATAATAATATTGACAAGATTCTTGATCATTTCTAAGCAAAAAAGTGTTCTAGTAAATTTTGAAGTTAGGCCTTCCTTTGTGAGATTTTAAAATAAAAATGCGTTTCGTATTCAGCGTGTTCGCATTACAATTTGAAACCACCAAATTGGCGAAGGCCTACAACAAAATTTTGCTGCAGATTTTTCTCAGAAATGATCAGAAAACGTAAAAATTTTTCTATTTTTATCTTTGAAAAACGACTTTTTTCACGTCGACTCTCAACTCCGCGCAAAAAAATCTAATCCCGAAATATGCAGACGATACAACGTTGACAGCCGCATCACAGTAGAAAATTCTAAACCGAGTTGAGACAGAGGGCGCATAATTGGCAGAAAAAGAACTCAAAACGAAAATATAGCTGCAATAAGCATTTCCAAGCATCAAAGTTCACATTGTTTGCCTGCATTCCAAAGGTGAATTCCGTCGTTTTTGTCATCATTTCTAAACTTAAAAGTAAACTTTCGACTTTGTCTTTGTCTTTCCTTACAAAAAGTTAAGGAGCATTGATTATAAAGTGGCACCACTCTACGTATAAGATTATCAGCAATCACGCACTCCACTTCAGACTCATTTTCTTGTCAAGTATCACTGACCGGGTACATTTGAACTGCTTGGTAACTTTTCGGCCACCCTTTGTGGTCAATATAAACCATAACAAAATAGAACAAAAACTACATTTTAGCTCCCACTCACCCTCGAATAATGAACAAAAAATAGGTGAACTGGAGCACTAGGCATAGTTGAAAGGTGCCATAAACTGTATTCAAAACGCCAATCTTCAATAGGAAGAGCGCGCTGCACAAAAAGCCGCATATAGTGAGATACATCTCGAACGACTACTAATCACCATATTAATTAAACTGGTGATCACCATGTGTAGTGGGGGCGCAAAATGGAGGCTGATAAATCCGATGAAAAACTTATCAACAAAAAGTAACGGTCGCGACCTAGCCATTATTGTTCTTTCAACATTTGGATAACCAAAGCTCACAAAACTTAATTTGGAATGGAAATAATTAATTAAATTTGAAAAATTTGACCGCAAACGATTTTTATTAAATAGTGAAGAATTACAGGTTTGCATGACGCGGTTCAGATAAAAGTCGCCCCAGCAACAAGTGGGCAACAGCAAAGCTCTAAACGAAACATTCTTAATCAAGTAGTAAGATTTTGAGATCTTTGCAGGAAGCTGTTGAGTTTTCGGGCTTTTTGGTTATCGTGGAGTAGAATTTCTTGCTCACGACGCAAGGGCAAATCACCCCCGACGCATCTTCAGGGGTGATTTGCTCGACAACCGAATTATTTACCAGTTTCATACTTAAGATACTTTCATACAAAAGATTGATCATTGCTTGAAACTAGTGAGTTTTCGGGCTTTTAGTCCGTCGTGGAATATAATTTGTTGCTGACGTTTCGCAAGCACAGCTTCACAGTTTCCAACTGGAGTCGATTTATTAAAATTTCCAAAAAAACGCGCGGTTTTGTCTTTTAATTTCTGACAATTTACCCGTTCACTCGCTAAGTGGAGTTATCGTTAATTGCTCAGATATATGAGAAATTTTCCCTGATTATAACCCGTCGTTTAAATGAAATATTTTCGTGACGTTTTGCCAGCACTAGCATCTTACATATTCAGATACACCTACATCTTCCATCTCTTTATTGCGCTCTTCTGCGCAAAAGTAATAAGAAGAAGTGAGATAAGTGGCAACGTCGACTGTCCTTAGACTTTGAAAGACATAATAACCTGCGATTTTTGACCTGCAATAAAACCTCAATAAATGAACATAAAAAAAAATCCTCAGTTTCCAAACGTTCCAGGATTCTGCCACTGCAACTGCTTAATTTCAAGAGCACTTCAAGTTAAAATAAAGCCAGCTCAGAAACACGCTCGGACTTAACTAGAAGTCAATTTCACGTCGTTATGTAACAACTACACTTCCATTTTTTCAGTAAAATATCAATAAATAAAGCTTCTTCACTCCCTTACCAATAGTAACTCCTCACTAAACACACACAAAGTTTGTATTTAAAAATCAAAAATTTTCACTCATTAAACCAGGTTATGTGCTACTTTTCCTGGATTCTGAAGTTTTATGTCTCCCTGACAACCACCAACTAACAGTGTCGACATCTCTTGTGGAATATTGATTTAGCATCACATGATAAACGTCAGTTGCGTGTCACATGAGACAAAACTTGACGTCTTGATTGTGTGATCTTTCCTGTTTTGTACTAGTTGGTTTTTGCTTCTCACAAACTCCAAGTCGACGTTTGTGAGACTTTCTGTGGAATTTAGCAGTGGAAAATCTGAAAATGTCTTTATCTGCAAGACAGGCCAGCCGGGAACACGTTCTAGCTGTTTCCCGAGACTTTGTGTCCCAACCAAGATTGAGTAAGTGCTTAATTTTGTCTAGATCACCTAGTTTGCACACTGGCATCTTTCATCAACCCTCCAAATCATTCTCAAATTGCTCATGAACATCCAATCGAACGAATTAACCCATTTCTCCAGCAATTAGAGCCGAAATTAATTGGCAAATCCATGTCATGTGACATCCCTTATGACTGCCACTCCTTGGCCAGTAATCAGTGTGTTTTTCCATTTGTTCAGCCTATAAAACAGTTTCTGGAGTCAACGGACCGCTGGTCATCTTGGAGGATGTCAAGTTCCCGAAATTCAACGAAATCGTCGAACTTAAACTGGCTGATGGAAGCGCCAGGTCTGGACAAGTCCTGGAAGTCAGTGGATCCAAAGCTGTGGTCCAAGTGTTCGAGGGAACATCAGGAATTGATGCCAAACACACCCTCTGCGAGTTCACGGGGGATATTTTGAGAACCCCTGTATCTGAAGACATGTTAGGGCGTGTGTTCAATGGATCTGGCAAACCCATCGACAAGGGTAAGTTTTACTTTTCCAAGCACAAGCCGAGTTAAATTGAAGTTTGGTTTAAATGGAATTCTGAAATTTAGCCAGTCAAATGATAGTCACCTGATGTGAACACATTTAAAGCTAATCGGAGTCACCTGACGTAATTTGGGTAAATGGGAGTGTTTAATCTGAAATCTGTATTCTATGAGAGTTCTGGTTTACATTATTGTTTTAAATGAGGCTTTAACCACCCCCAAACCCCCCGTGGTTTGCGGTCAATCAATAAAACAGCTTAAATAGTGCTGGAGTTGAATCAGAGCCTAAGTTTTAAATTTTTTCAGGACCTCCAATTTTGGCGGAAGATTACTTGGACATCCAAGGTCAGCCCATCAACCCCTGGTCGCGTATCTACCCAGAAGAAATGATCCAAACTGGTATCTCCGCCATTGATGTGATGAACTCTATTGCTCGTGGCCAGAAGATCCCCATTTTCTCGGCTGCTGGTCTGCCGCACAATGAAATCGCCGCCCAAATCTGTAGACAAGCCGGTCTTGTTAAGGTGCCCGGAAAATCCGTGATGGATGATCATGAAGATAATTTCGCCATTGTTTTCGCTGCTATGGGTGTGAACATGGAAACCGCTAGGTAAAGTTTTACCCGAAAAAACCCAGCTTTTCTGGAGTGTTAATTGTTGAGCTGGTCACAGATTCTTCAAGCAAGATTTCGAAGAAAACGGCTCCATGGAGAACGTGTGCCTGTTCTTGAACTTGGCTAATGACCCGACCATTGAAAGAATCATCACGCCTCGTCTGGCTTTGACTGCGGCCGAATTCTTGGCCTATCAATGCGAAAAACACGTCCTGGTCATCTTGACTGACATGTCTTCATATGCTGAAGCCTTGCGTGAGGTGAGAGCAGCTCCTTAGCTGTGTGTGTGAAGAAATCACTAGCTTCGCTTTTCAGGTATCAGCTGCTAGAGAAGAAGTGCCCGGTCGTCGTGGTTTTCCCGGTTACATGTACACCGATTTGGCCACTATTTATGAGCGTGCTGGGCGTGTTGAGGGCAGGAACGGCTCCATTACTCAAATCCCCATCTTGACTATGCCTAACGATGATATTACGCATCCAATCCCCGATTTGACTGGATACATTACTGAAGGTTTGCGGCAATGGGGGAGTTAAAAAGAGTTGTTTGGCTTCACTTTTCACTGTTCTCAGGTCAAATCTACGTCGACAGGCAGCTGCACAACAGGCAGATTTATCCTCCAATCAACGTGCTGCCATCGTTGTCACGTTTGATGAAGTCCGCTATTGGTGAGGACATGACCAGGAAGGATCATTCTGATGTTTCCAACCAGTTGGTAAGTTTTATATTACAAAGCCTTGAGTGTTGGGTATTTTTCCTCAAATTTTGAGTGGTTGAACCGAATGTCCTCAGGTGTCTTATTACAAATGGATGAGTTCTCTTGCCTCTTAAAAGAACGAATATTATCAAAGCGCAAAATGTAAGCTCCTGCAACAGGTTTGGGCTCAAACGGGCAGAAAAAATCGCGGTTGGTAAACAGAAAAAAGGATATAAAGGAGTATATGAAATCCCTAGACTCGCGGGGATCATTTGCGTTTTTATACCGTCGCCTGTAGGCGTTTGGAACTAAAGTTTCGCTAGCATCTTCAGAGGTTCACTTGAACCGTTTTACTACTTATTTCTTCCACTAGTATGCTTGCTACGCTATTGGAAAGGACGTCCAAGCCATGAAAGCTGTTGTGGGTGAAGAAGCTTTGACTCCCGATGATCTTCTCTACCTCGAGTTCCTGACCAAGTTCGAAAAGAACTTCATCTCACAAGGAAACTATGAAAACAGGACGGTGTTCGAGTCGTTGGACATTGGCTGGCAATTGCTGCGTATCTTCCCCAAGGAGATGTTGAAACGTATCCCAGCAGCCACTCTTGCGGAATTCTATCCCAGAGATTCGCGTCATTAAATCCACTCTTGATTGGTGCACTATGTGTCTTAGTTTATGCTGAGGCTTAAAGTCTCTTGTATTGAAGTAAGTTAAATGAAATAATTCGCCTCCCTTTCATTGATTTAATTGCGTTCTTCTGTGCAATTCCTACTACTGAGTCTTGTTGTATTATAGTTTTTGTTGGTTTGATTTTATCCAGAATTCACTTAGTTGCATCTGTACAAATTTGTATTATAGCATATCAATTCTGAAAAAATCGTACTCATTGTTCAATCAGCTTAATGACTCGGCGGCAAAAATACGTTTTTCTTTTGGAAACATTCCACTAAGTTAAATTTCCTTGTTTGAACAATAATAGGTCAGGAATAAAGATTTCAGTATTCTTATTGTAGAAAAGTGAACTTTTCCGTAAAGTTTCCATATATATACCCCCAGCCTATTGTTGATTATTTAATGTTGTTAATATGGTAGATGTGTAAAAATGATATTGTGAATAAAACAGTTCATAAAAGTTTCCCATTGTTTCATTTCTGCGGACGCTTGAAAACCAGCGTCTTAATTTATCCGCAAATTAAAATTATTTATTTGAAATGCACGATTAATTTTTGGATTTAGTTAACCAAAAATGTTTCAGCTTTTGTTTACATTGTCTGATGATGGTCTAAAATACCGAAACGTATTGATTGAAAGTTTCGTAGATATTGTAATATAAATGACTGATATAATATTGTAAGATAATTTTCATAATTATAAATACAAAACAAAAAAACCTTTTCTTGATTAGAATCGTATTATATTAATATTTTTTTGAACAAATGCAGCAAATTTTTCTGGGAAATCCCCTGTGTAAAACCGGCGGAAATATGCATTTTTCTTTATAAGGAATTTTAATTGTAAAACACCCGTTATATAATTTCCCCCTTTGTTCTAATATACCTCTCTCTCACTCTCTGGGCTTTCACAAATTTTCCCCCTTTGACTAGAGGTCGCCACATCTGACTTTCTACGTCACTTTTGAAAGATAAGCTTATGATTCAAAAGCTATTAATTTCTTTATTTTTATCATATCATATATTCATTAGCATTGGCCGACTTTAATCGCCGGGCGAGCCTCAACGTGTCCAGTCGGTTGGAAGAGTTCAATTACGGGTTCGAACTAGCATTAAACACAGTGCAACATGGCTGTTTCCTTAAGGAGCCTCTCCAGCAAACTAGGGGGTGCATTTTCCCCCCTGAAATTGGTTTCGACCTCCCGCACCTATTTCACCTATGTGAACGAGCCAGCGCAACCCATCCAGGGCAAGGAACCCAAATGGTGCACTGCAGAAGAAGCGTTTCAGGACTTGCAGTCAGGTATGGGTCCCCTTTAGCTGCTTACAACCCCAAAGTACATGCCCTTATTGCGTTTTCCTTGTAGAGGTATGCGAAGTTAATCAGAGGACATGGACTTTGGTCCATAAAGTCATTAGTATGCTGAATACCCATCGTTTATTTAATCATGGCTTGTTGATGGCGTTTTTTATCCAGTTTTGCTTTTGGGCCTTTGGGGTCGTGCTGGATTGTTTATAATGAATGCAGTTTTTGTGTAATCCCAATATTAAATGGGGAGTTGGTAGAAACCACTAATGAATGGATTTTCTGGTCAACATTCCACTTAAGCATGTTAAGTGAATTAAGTCCTTGACTGGCTGTAAACACACGAAAAAACCTTCGAAACGCACGTAAACCACTTTCATTATGTAATAGACTTGCTGTAGTATGCTGCAGACATATGCTTATTAATTCCTATTTATTAATTTCCAATCAACCAATAAATCTTAGATTGGCCCTAAAATACTGTCCATTTCCTATTAATAAGCAAGAGCGGACTTTGGTCAATCACTATAATTATTATTATTATACATGTACTGTGCTTTGTCAGAGACCTGCTATCAAACAATGTTAATTGCTGAACGATTTTATATCTCAGTTGAGTTCATTTCTGGTAAATCAAATTAAAATTTCCTAATACCGCAATGCCACGAGGACTTAAAAGAATTTTCAGCAAAAGTGTTTGAGCGAGTCTAAAATAAGGAAGGATTAAGAGTTCAAAAAATGTGTGATTGTGAACAGTCTAAAGTGTTCTTCAATGAATTCGCAACATTGAGTTTTTACAAACAAGTAGCAAAACAGGTTTATTTTTAAAACTACCGAACTAGGTGGCTTGTTATTGTTTCCACTGTTCATTAATGCCGAACGTTAAAATAAATACCGTTTCCTAGATAAACACAGATAACTAAGTTTAATACTCCAACTGATAGTGCTGAACACCCAATTAATTACCTTCAAGATAATTGTTTAGCAAGTTCTGCTAAATTAAGAGGGTTTTAATTGCTATGCATACGTCAGAAAATATGTGCTGGAAGCAGAGGCGGATTAAGACTCTTGCAGACCTGAAGCCCCAATCATTTTTGGCCCTCTTTCTTTTTAAAGGATTAATATAAAATTTACTTGTGCCGTATCCGATCCGGCACCGATCCTGAGCTCTAAAAAACGCGCTTATTGACTAATCCAGCCCTAGATAGAAATAACAATGCACGTTAAATAATATGGTAATCGTTCTGCTACTATTTTAGTCAGTTTTATGCATAAAACTGTAATAATTTGACTTTTTCAACTACACAGTATAAAACTGACTAAACGTAAGGATTTTGTTTTGCTACAAAAAGCATAAACAAATCCATTAATCAACGAAAATTGGACCAATCTCCAGTCCAAAGATCACGCCGCAAATACGGACGGTTGAATTGACTTTTTAGCTTGAAAGTAAACATAAATGCATTTCATCTGTGTAAAACAGATATAAAAACATAAATATTGTAGTAGGTCTGATTTAGAATTGAACATTGCACTGGATTTAATACGTTCGTACGTAGATGATACAAATGAATTTGATAAATTTTGGCCTGGATGTTAAGCATGATAAATGGTAAATATTTGGATCGAAAATACTGTGGTATATAAAACAGATTTCAGCTGGAGAATCAGCTTGAGAACAAGGTTCAACTGATTGAACTTTTGGTGCCTAAATCCAGGATTTTAAATAGAATTCGCAGAATTTTTACATGGTTTTCTCCAATCAATTTCATAAATATTGTTTTATTGCGGGATTAGATTGCGAGCGCTACTTTAAAAATGAAAGGCGTATTAATTTTAATTCGTTTATTATCAGTCAAAAAGTGTTACAAGATTTCATACAAATTACAGAAAGAAATGTTTCAAACCCGCTTAGTGAAGAAAATTGCCAACATGCCGACGAAATTACAAATAAATAAGATTATCGAATGAGTTTTCAAAAAACATCTGTTTGGAATTAATGAATCATTACTACCACCAATTGAATGGCCATAGAAAACAAGATTTTATAGAAGGGAGAATGACGTAAACTGCTGTATATTAATTTATATAATTGTTATAATGCCATTCTAAAATCCATTTCTAGGTAGGTATTATTATATTTTTTTCAAATGAAAGTGATAATAATTCAACCAATTAATTAACATGGTTGAACGAAAGTAAAATTTAAAAAAAACGAAACTATCTGCATTAATATAAATCTATTTTGGATTGTTAACAGAACGATTAAAGCCGGTGTTTGCGATTTGTAATTTTACTTGTTCCCAGGTGAAAAATACAGTATTTTTCATCATTGGCGCAACCTCATATTCTGTTCGATTTCTATGTTTATAACGCAAAACAATTATTATCTTGAACTTAAATTTTATAATCACTTTGTCGTTAAAATTGCCTATTTTGAAGGAAGTTTTTTTTAAATAAGCAAATACGTGAAAACATTTTTTGTTGCATCCACAAATCCCATCACTTTTTAAGTAAATGTCTACTCGTATTTAGATATTTTACTGTTCGACTTCGACATCGCTGTTCAATTAATTAAAAAACAACTAGCCAAATCACACATATTTTTTACGGAAGCGAACAGAAACTCTGCTAGATTTCTTCGAAAGTAACGCGATATTTTCTGAGCTTTCTTCTCGGCTGTTTACAACTGCAGAATAAAAATCTTCTCTTTTGTCACATCTGCTATGAGTTTGCTTTGCGTAACTTGAAATACACAGGCATCGGAAATTACGAAAAACTACTCATATTTCTTCCAGACCTCCACCAGATGCATAGCAATCACGACCTCACCAAAGCGCAATTTTGCTCTTGCTTGCTCAAAAACTAAACTGTTGTTTCCTTAACTAATTTCGGCATATTAAGTGAATATTTACCGCATTGATTACCAGAAGATTAAAAAGGATATTGTTGATTTCATTGAAACTACGATTTCGGATACGTAAACACATTTATGCAGTTCCATGTAACAAAATCGACGTAAAGACATTATCTTATTACACTAAGCTACTGACTATATCTAAATAAGGTTTATTGTCTCGTTAGGTCAAACGGTGTTTGCTCAAGGAGCGGCAGCCACTCCAATTGCCCTGTTAAGTGCCATGACCGAAGTAGGCAAAAAAAAGAACTTGAAAAATATCAACGTTTGTCACATGCACACGGAAGGACCAGCGGCTTACACTGATCCATCATGTGAGGGCATTTTTAGGTAGGTAAGAAAACGAGAATCAGTCAAAACTTATCGAGGCGAGTTTTCTGGGAATGGGTTTTTGTGTTTATTTCATTGAGTGTCGAGGTTTCAAAGCGATTAGCCAAACGCCTAGTTAACGTATTGGCGCCAAGTTCATTCCGTCTATTTTTTGGCGCCTGTTTCCAGTTCTCTAGCCAAAAAAAATGTGAAATAATTCACCTCATTGCTAGTGTCTACGTGTGATAAATAAATAAACAACACTGTATGTTGTGTATGTATATATATCTACTTTGAATAGTTATTTAATTAATGGCCAATGCTTCAATCTAGAACTAGATGGGGATCATGTAAAGTAAAGGCAGATGTTTTATAGGTCGAACTCATTCTTCATGGGTGGAAATGTGCGAAAGGCTGTAGCCGATGGTCGAGGGGACGCAATCCCGATCTTCCTCTCCGAAATCCCTTTGCTGTTTTACAAAGGGATTATTAAGCCAGACATTGCGGTCATCCAAGTAAGTGAATCGCACCAATGCAAGTAATAATCATCAAAATCACACGAAATTAATTTATGTGTAAAGGTTTCTCCCCCGGACCAACATGGCTACTGCAGTTTAGGAACAAGCGTTGACTGTGTGCGAGCTGGTATGACACATTCCAAAATCATTGTTGGTAAGCGAGGCAAATTATAAAAGCTTCTAGTCACCGATAACCCACGAGTATCATTTACAGCCCAAGTCAACCCCAAACTTCCACGGACGTTCGGAGACGGTATAATCCACATTAGCCACATCGACTATGCGGTGAAAGTCGACACTCCCCTGCCGGTTCATGGAGGAAAGCCTCCCACTGATGTGGAGACAAAAATTGGGAAAAATATCGCGGAAAACCTGGTCGAGGATGGAGCCACTCTGCAACTGGGTCAGTTCAATCACACAACCAACTAGCTAACTTTACTTGAACTCGAAAAAATTGCAGGCATCGGCAGCATTCCGGATGCAGTCTTATCCGCCTTGACCAATCACAAAGACTTAGGAATTCACTCAGAAATGTTTGCCGGAGGCGTGATTGACCTGGTCAACAAAGGATGCATAACAAACAACCGCAAAATCATCCACAAAGGCAGAATCGTCGGGTCATTCCTTATTGGAACCCAAGATCTGTACGACTTTGTGGATAACAATCCGTTCATTGAAATGTTGGTTGTGGACTATGTAAATAACACCAGTAAGTGAAGGTTTCATCAATCCCTACAACTGGCTTCAGAGGGTTTTTTCAGGTATTATTGCCCGAAACCCCAAAATGACCGCCATCAACTCATGTATTGAGGTGGACTTGACCGGTCAAATCTCGTCAGATTCGATTGGAACGCGAATGTACTCGGGATTCGGAGGACAGGTGGACTTTATTAGAGGAGCGGCCGAAGGTTTCGACGGTAAAGGAAAGCCCATTATTGCCTTGCCATCCGCTACTAACAAGGGCGAGAGCAAAATTGTGCCAACACTCAAAACAGGTATGTTAGGTCCGATCGCGACATTGATCAAGTAAGACATTTTTTTATTGCAACAGGTGCTGGAGTGGTAACGACCAGAGCTCACGCCCATTATGTAGTGACAGAGCATGGAATAGCTTATTTGTTTGGAAAATCGCTGCGGCAAAGAGCACACGCTCTTATTAATATTGCCCATCCAGACCACAGGGAAAAACTGGAAAAGCAAGCATTCGAACGTCTGAAGTGCATGCCATCGCCTTAAATGAAACTTTGTAAAGCAATTTCAGTAATAAGAAAATAGGCAAGTCGCATCCAGAACCCTGGATAATTGTTTTCGATGAATGAAAGTCGACAACAGATTGATAAATAATTAATAATAGTTAGCGATAGACAGTCGTACATTAAATCAAATAATTCATTTGCACTACACAAGAGAAAACATGTAAAAGGTTCAGCTTTAAGCAATTCAATACTAGGTTAAGTGAGAAATTATGTTATTGCCTAATATTTATATGTTTTCAAAAATAAACATTCTAAAACACTTATACTGTAACGAGTAATCAAAGAAAGTAAAATCCCAATCAAATAATCCCTGCATCCAAAAACCTCATTCATACAGTACTCTAGTAAAGATAGTAACCTTACTAATTGGCAGCCATGGGAGAAAAAATGATATAAAATTTCAATAATCAACTTGCAAAACAGTAAAAAAAAACAATTACGGCGTTTCATCCTTGGGGTCGAACTTGTGAAGTTTGATTCTCCATTGCTTGATCAGTCCCTCCCAACCTCGTCGTGAATACTTTTCATATTTAGGAGGAGTTTTGGGATCATCCACTTTTCGTTGATTTCTGGAAAACAAAATCGCCAAAAATCCGTGTGGGATGTTAAAAGTGTACTATTTACCTGGGCACCATTTGAAGATAATTCTCATAGCCGATGGTGTTTTTTCCATACTGGATCTGTTTCTCCCTTCTTGCCAATACTTCTGGATCGGATTCCATATCCTTACGAGGTTTCGTGTTGCCTCTGAAAAGTTTTCAATAATGATTTATTGAGGAATCTTGCACACAAAAAAAAATTAAGCAGAGAAGGTTGAAGTATGTACCCGATATGAAACTAATATTTGGGTATTTTGCCTTAAATTGACGCCGCATCGAAATAAATTTTTATCACAAATTGATAACGCGTTAAAAAGTAAATATAAGATTAAAGAATACTGATGAAAAGTTTGAAAGTTTGTTTTCTCCCTTAACTCATCGGGGAATTTATTTCAAAGTCCCCCAGCGCGCTTTCGCGTGTATTTTGGCGTATGAAAAGCATCGTGGGAAAAAAATTTAAAAAAAAATGTTTTTCATTTCGGTTTAATTTCATCGGATCGCACGATTTTAGCCAAAATCACATGTTTGACAACAAAAATGACGCTTCCTATCCGAAAATGTTATTCTTTGTAAAATATCGAGCGTGCTAAAAGGTATCCAGTGGTATAATGCAATATTTTGTCGGCGATAATAAACGGTTTGAGAAAATTTACGAAACTTGATTTTCTCAAAACTTCAAGTATCTCCAAAAACATATAGCTAAATTCTGAGCAAAGCAATGGACAGAGTGGCTTCAAACACATAAGAAAGCTCGTATTCCCCTTTCACCTAAAGTTGCCAATAAGAGGATTTTTTTAATTTCCTGCTAGCTTTTGGAGAGATTCCAAATTTCGTAAATTTTTCTTTTTGCAGATCTAAGGAAGGTCAAAAACCATCACTTTACTTGAAAATGAGTGAATTTCGAAAATTGGCCCTCTTCAGTTCAAAAAAGCACAAACAAAGCGCGGGTTTTAAAAACTTATTTATTTTTTCGAAAAACGAAACGATCTCTTGAAAAAATGTATTTCTTGTAAAACATCGGATTTCCCAAAATTTATGCCGGAAGTATTTTAAAAAAATGTCTCCTTTGAAACTGAAAAAAAAAACTGTTAAAATTTCCAAAACCAAAAAGAAACATGATAAAGTGGTTTCTATTCCCTGTTCCGGAAAAGTATCCCATAAGCAAGCTGCGGGATATTTTCGGGTTCTCGCATGCTTTTTTCGGCTGTTTTTGAGACAAAATACCCAAACAAAACGATTTCAAAATAAAGCAGGGTAGACTAAATATAACCACAGTTATGACAAAAACCAGTAAAGTGGATGTAAGTATATAAAAAAACAATGACAAACAGGCCTATATTTCAGTGAGCAGAACATAAAAAATTAGTCAAATACTTTTCCGTTGTCACTTAGTCGAAAGTAGACTTGAATAAGAATTCAAAATGAATTTTTGTATCACTTCATATAAAATCTTTGACAAAATGCATTGCCTGAACTGCAAATAAACCACAATATCATTGATAAGAAAAATACAGGTTGTATGATTCAAAGTGGGTATTTTTTTAACAAGAAACCACAATAGAGTAAACTTCCATTCGGATGAATAGGCTGCAAGATAATACACACACACACAGAGATGAGCATTTAAAAAATAACTTACTTTTTCGTACGTTTGGTTTCCATTTCATCAGCATCAACAATGGGTCCCAGGCGAGTTTTAACCGAAATCCGTTTTTCCGACGTATCAGATTCCATCTTCTTATAGGGCGATTTCCTAGTAAACATCGTTCGTTTAGCACTTTTGAATGAACGCTTGGAACCAGACTCGTCATTTTCATTCTTGACCGGAGTTCGCTCTTTGATTTTCCAGCTCTCGAACAGTTTATTATTATAGGGCGAGTCATCAAACATGCGATCAACCGCAGCATCGGACTCAAGTTTTACTGGCACTGGTGAGGTTTCGCTCTTTAGTCTTTGTCGCTTCAACAATTCATGGTCCATTTGATCAGTTTCACAGATGGTGTCCTCCAGTTCACCTTCTTCCAAACTTTCATCTCTCTTTTCACTTTTAACATTGCACATCAAATGTGGCTTCTCTTCGAAGATATCATCCACATCTTCAGGTTCGCATTTTACTTGGGTCTTATGGTTTGCAGTGATTGGAGTTGAGTTAGAGGCGGGATCACACTGTTCGTTTTTGGTGTTTGTTTTTTTTCGTGGCGTAATACCATCAGCTTCCCATGCCTCCTATTAGAAGAAATGTATGTTTTAAGTTTCAATAAATACACTCAGATGTACAAAAGTTGCTAAAGTTCAAAGTATTCTAATTTGTATTCCATTTAAGTACTTGGCTTGATTTTAATTGTATTCTTCTAAGTTTATAGATTAGGTAGGTATTTGCCTATTGTTTCAAGGGTCGGAAATGTTGATTTGTGGCTTTCGAAAGACGAATAATGAGGAAAACACCGAACCATCTTTTGTATCAGTTTTTTGGGCAGTTCGTTACTGTTTTACTTTAAGCCAAAATGTGGCAGTTTTAAAATCGCGTGTTTTGTAAACAGGGGTTTGCGAAAAAATACGAAAATCGTTTCTCGATGTTTTCTCCAATATTTGTCAAGGAAACCAGAGAGTCAACATTTCTTAATCGGTTAAATATTATAAACGACGCCTTCAAACACACCCGAATTCAAATTATTTAGAAGATTTGCAGCAACAACGGCAATTGGCAATCTTTGGCAATAAAAAAAGTTTTACCAAAATTCTTTACCGCGTTTTATATTGAAGCTATATGGAGTATTAAAGAAAATACCAAACGGCATATACAAGCGCTGAACAAATGGCACTAACACAAAAATAAAATATCCCCAAAACCCACTGCACAATGCTCATCAAACCAATCACTTTACCAACTCACAAACATGACAAARATATCAGATAAACTGATTACAGACAAAATGGAAAAACCAACCCCTACAACTAGAGGATGAAGACAACGCAGWCAATTTTGCGTCATTTTTTCAACAAACGATTCTACTGAAAAATTGATTCGATTAAACTAAGCTTCGATTGGTAGATTTAAATTTTTATTTGTGAACTTTATAACCAAAAGACCAATTTGGTTGATGGCCTTTTGCGAAAAAATAGAGATTATTATTATTATTATGAAAATTGGAAAGCCGTTAATATTTTCTCCACATTAACCGACTATTAATCGTCAATCCTGAGAGAAATTAAATAAAAGGAAAGAGACAAAAAGAACAAACTAATAAAAACTGACGAGTTTTTGGGCAGTTTTTCCCCCAGTTTCGAGCAAGGGCGGATCCAGGGAGGGGGTCATGGGGGTTATGACCCCCCCATTCAATTCTCTATCCAACGATGAGATGAGAAATGAGCAAAAACGGGAGGGAAAACATGGAATTTTCGCATAATCTTGCACCTAAGTGTCTGATATTCAAATTTCGCTTTCTGGGTCAAAACTACTAGAATTTTCTCACTCACGTTGTTACGACTGAATCGACTTTTCAATTCTCTTTTCCAACGATGCCAAAACGAATTCTGTGGCTCGAATGGTTCTTGAGAAACTTCGAAAAAAGCAGCGTCATGTTCAAGTGGATTTTGCAACTCAAAAGAAACCACGCAAATCAAAAACTTCTTCAATTCAAGCATTTTTAAGAAAACTGCTAACATTTCCCCATCTATGGTTCACTTTTTAAAAAGGCCATTTATTTCTCTCTAGAATGATGTACAAATGAGCGTTCTTGCTCATTTTGCCTCCGAGATATGAGCAAAA